TCTACGACGCNCAAAGGACAGGTCATGAAAGGGCGGGACTGGCAAGGTTTGATGGTCTCTGACTCCAGCAAACCCTCGATGGCAGAAGACACAAAATCCCCGTGGTCCCGTGCAGATTGGTGATTCTTGCCCCAGTACGGCCGGGGGGGGAGGTCCTGAGTGCCACATCAGAGGGAACCCTTGCAGGACCCAGCTCAGCACGAGCTGGTTCACCACTGTCGCCTTCCAGACCGCGGCGCAGGCTCTCAAGCGCCCCCGCATCTTAGGCCTATCCTTGCTACCCATGCTAGGAGGTGTGGCTTCACAAGGCGGATCAACAGGCAAAGGTGCTGGGTTCTCACCTTCTGGGACCGCTTGTTCATTCCTCGAAGGGGCTCCTGGGTCTGGATGTGGTTCCTGGGCTTGGCGGGCGACCTTGGTCCGGGGCCGGGTGGGCTCTGCAGGGCCGGGTGCGGGACGCTTGGCGGTGTTCTTGGTCTCCACTTGTGTGTTGTCTCGTTGGGCAGGGGGGGGCTGCGCGGGGCGAGGGGCTCTAAAACCCGCGGCGACGAACAGTGCGCCCAGTACTGTGGCGGCCAAATTCTCTGCATTGCAAGAGACAAAGGATAACAGAGGGGGAGATGAGTAGAGGCCGGGGCTCCTGGCGACTGAGGCTACGAAACGGTGGGAAGCCGCCCCTCCTGGGATGACGGAGAAAACCGAACAGGCTACTCAGGGGCGACCTGCGCCGCAGGGGACGGGGCCACCAGAGCCATCAACCTGTTTGATGCCTCTCTGTCGTTGTTGGGTACATGCATGAAGAGGGGAACTCGGACGGAGGAAAGGACAGGTCCAGCCTGAAGCCGGCCACCTGGGCCTGGAAGCCGCCATGGTCAACAGGACCGAGCCAACACGGCAATAAGGCCCCAAGGCCAATCACAGGCGCCACCAAGGGCAAGAGCTCGCGCGCGTTACAAAGAAACCTCCCTCCAGGGTACAACTTGGTCCGACATCTTCTAGCGGTGGAAGGTCTGGAAGAGACCGGATGTGCAACTTAGCATAACAAGTCTTGTCAAAGATTGGGCCAAAGCATACTCCGTTCCAACCCAATAATGTTTGTCGGACTTGTGGGCCCCTGCAACAACAACGACCGCGAACTGCACGGAGGGGCCACTGAGCGAGCTTAGAAAAAAGGAGGGG